CCTTTCTGGACTTCTGACATCACTGGCTGCTCCCTTCCGCAAACTCTCCTCTCTTGGCTTCCTGACCACTACTCTCTGCCCTTTTAACTCCCTCACCCCTCTCCTCCTCAAGCGAGTTCCTTAAATGTTAACATAACCAAGGCTTCCAGGCTTCACCGTTTGTTCTTGTCAAGACGCTATGTCCTCTCCCTGGGGAATACCAAATGTCTGAAAACCTTCATGTCTGAGCCATACCCTTCTACCACAAGTCTGATCAGATAAGCCATTAAACACCAGGGCTGTCCCACCAGAACCTCAGATTCCGTATATTCTAAACGGAATGTAGACTCTTTCTCTCACCTCTTCTCTTCCTCTTTATATTACTCCTAGTGAATTCATACCATTACCCTCGTACTAAATGCAAATCATCCCAAAGCCTCTCCCGGTCCACCAAAGTCATTAAATCTCTTGATCAAGATTCTGTTAGTATTTCCTCTGCTTCCTTCACTACTGTCACTGCCAGACAGCCAGGTTCTCCTCTACAATTCCTCAATCAAGGTTACTCCAGCAGTCCCCCCGCCAGCCTTTCTGCCTAGCAGATACCTCCAATTCTATTATCATTCAAAGCTGGAAACAGTTTTCTCTTTCACTCATCCCTACAGCTTTCAAAAGCATGTTTTAACTAAATGCTCGGCACACAGACCTCGTCAGGAATGGCCCTCCCCTCCTCTCCTGCATCTTCTACTGCTCCTCAATCTCTCGGGGTGCACTGAGCTACTATTCTGGCAGTTTACCACATGGAACCTTCACTCTTTGCTGATGGCAATGTCAGTGTAGCCGCCACAGAAAACAGTATGGCAATTATTCAGAAAATGCAAAACCACCACGTAACCTGGCAATTCTACGCCGAGATGTATAAAGGCCAAGAGACTTGAAATGAAGGACTTAAACAGATACCTACCAATGTGCACTGTAACCCTATTCACAGTGGCCCCAAAGTGGAAACAACCCTGGTATCCAACAAAAGACAGAAACAAGAGGGAGAAAGATGGGCAGTCTCCTCCTAGGCTGTTTACAGTCTGAAAACCTGCCGAAAGGCCACCTTTGAGTAGGTTTCAACTTGATGGCAACAACTGCATATGAAAGACGATGCTGATAACACAAATGGTTACGATGGCAAACTTTTTGTTACACATATTTCACCACAATGAAATGGGGAGGGGAGAGTAAGAACACAGAACCACACATCCAAACACCTTTCAAGGAAGGGAAGTCTCTAAAGTTTTCACCTTACTGTGATCACGCAACAGGCTTAAAAGGAGGTAAATTAAAAATTCATAAGTTAACAGAAATACACTGTGAACTAGATGTCTTTCTTTCTCGTAACGCCAATGCACTAGTGCCAGCCTGCACTTACACGCACTGTACATACAAAGCCTATAAACCGGAAATGAGTCAAAGAAATGTGGTATAATCTGCGCTCCCATACACTGTGTGTTCATTCCAAGAAATCAATACAAAACTCTAGAAAGTGGGGCAAAGACAATGACTACCATGCAGGTAGCTGGCACTCAACGTCTACTGTTTATTTATTCTTCTGTGTCACTCATACTAAAAGGACACCAAAAGACAAATTAAGAGCCAAAATATTTATTATGTTGCCATGGCTTCCACATTAACAAATAAAAAGTATTACTCATTCCCTAACAACTTGCCTTTATTACAAAATCTTAGGTGCCATTTTTCTTAACCAGATCTTACAATGCAATTACATATAACCAATTTTATTTTTTAAGCTTTTGGTAGTTGAGGACTAAATATTTTATTGTTTTCTGCACATAAACACTCACCACATGTGTTGTTGTTGTTGTTATGTGCCGTCGAGTCGCCTGCGACTCATAGCGACCCTATGTACAACAGCCCTAAACTCCGCTCTGTCCTGTGCCATTCGCACTGTCTCTGACCCTCCCATCCCAATTATCCCAGTCACTGAATGTATCAGATAAAAAACTAGAAATTTTAAAATCCTATTTATGATGTCAAACAACTCTGTTCCTGTGATTCAGCGATCTTGATAGCAGAAATATTCTTTTTTGGTATGAAGTAAGAAATCTAGGGTGAAGGATTTATTAAGAGAAGCATGAAATATTTTATTTACCTCCTTTAAATTGCATTTAAACCTGGTGTTTAAAAAACCTTAATAGCTAGACAACCCAGGAAAAGTGAAACTTTAGATCTGAAATGGTATATCAAATAAATGGAAAAAATGTGAATCTCAAGTTCAGTAGAAACACTTTCACGAAAAGAAAGTTACTGTTAACTCACAGGAATGGTAAAGATGACAGTGAACATTACAACAAATATTCTTCAATCAAACTTGGACAAAATGAGTCTCTGTGTTCTTGGTTACTGAGCACAACCCAGCAGCTAGGTGGTTGTGAGCTGTTCACACACACGCTGACTCCATGCATACAGACAAGAACGGCACTTCATATGCTTCTCATAGCTGGGACCCTTCAGAAGCTGACCATCAAATCTGATTCTGGAGGCACCTTTTCGCAGTCAAGCGTCACTGAGTTGACTATAACTAATCGTGACCCCATGAACAAGAGATTAGAACTTTGTCCAATCTTCTCCCATTTTCACCATCTTTGACACACTCAAGTATTGTGTCAATCCCTCTCCTGAGGGTCTCCTTTTTTTCTCTGACCTTCCATCTTTCCCAGCACAATATGTTTTCCCAAGGACTAGCCCCTCCTAAAACAAAAGTTGCGAGACGAAGTCACCGTCCTTGCTGCTAAGGATTGCACACCTTGGCTGGCTTCACACCTTGCTACACAGTCCTGGTTGTTCTTCTGGCGGTCCATGGGATTTTCTGTACTCTTTGCCAACATCGCAATTCAAAGATGCTGATTCCTCTTTTGACATCCTTATCAACTGTCCAACTTTCAGATACATATACAGCAAATGAAAACACCATGGCTTGGATCAGGAGCATCTCAGTCTTTAAACTGAGAACCATGCTCTTCAGCACTCTGGAGAGGTTCCTATTAGCAGACTTCCCCAATGCAACAAGTCTTGACTTCTTAAGTGCCGCTATCATGGGTGCTGATTGTAGATCCAAGTAAAACGAAATCTCTGACAACTTCAATCTATTCTCCATCTATCATGAGGCTGGTCTCCATCTATCATGATGCTGTCTGTTGGTCCAGTGGTGAGGACTTTCTGTGTTCTTGATGCTGAGATGTGCTTCAGGTCTTCTCCACCTTCCACAAGCAATGTTGTGTCAGTATAACACAGGTTTTTGACAAGTCTTCCTAAAATCCTTATCCCAATTTCTTCCTCATATAATCCACTTCTCAAATTCTTTGTTCAGCATACAGATTGACTAGGTATAGCAAAAGGATACAACTCTGAAGTATCTCTTTCCTGGTTTGAAATTATAAAATTATAGCATGGTCCTTTGTTCTGTTCAGATAATGGTTTCTTGGGCTATCTATGTACAGGGCACCTTTAGGTGGGTCCACCTAATAGCACTCAGTAAGTGTCAGCCATTCGAGTCCTACTCAGTTATTTAAATGGAGTAGCACTCACAGTCTCAGTCTCTCTCTCTCTCTCTCTCTCTCTCTCTCTCTCTCTCACACACACACACACACACACACACACACCTCTCCCATACCCCAAAGACACGAAGAGTTCAAATACTTAGTGAAAGTGCAAAAGAGACTGAAAGGGGCTGGCATTTTTTACTCCCGACGGAAATAATCTGGTAAAACTCTGCAATTTTGAAAATAAATATTTTGGGTACTTTGAATTCTCAACTAAAGAAAAAAAAATACTAACAGATGACTTCAAAAATACTTCACCAGTATAACAATGAAAGAATACTTCTTTTACTTTTCAAAGAGAAGAGTGAACTGGGGGTGGGTGGGAAGGGAGAAAAGTGCAACAATGAATGAATGGAAATCCAAAGTCTCTGTCAACTTTCATTATAATAAAAAAGTTTAAAAAAAATCTACTTCAACAGTGCAAATATTTAAAATCATAGTAAGTAATATGCAGTATTTAATTTTAAAATATATTTTACCTTTTATCTAAATATATCCCAATGACTGTTAAAGTAATAGCATGATTTTGTCATCAGTTCTTAAATAACAGGTTTTTGTTCCTTTAATACTCACCTACTATTAGAGTTTGACCTCTAATTTCAGAAGCTAAGTGAGTGATTTGTAAGAGGAAAGACGTAACAATGAACTGGATCAAAGAAGACTGTGTCATATGTCAAAAGGAAACAGCAGTAGTCCTAGATGAACTATTTTCCAAGAATAACAAGGAGGAAGTGATGAGGGAATAGTTCTCACCAGAGAACATAACCGAACAACGCTCTAAGCAAGTCCTTCTCCTGACTGGTCCACATCAAGTCTGCAGCTGCAAACAGTGTGAATTAGAGCTGGCACCTCACTAAGAAATCCCAGCTGAGAAGTACTTTCAATTTCCAATAGGCAACAGGAAATGGTGTTCCCACCAGGTAACAAGCATAAACTCTCTCCCTCTACCTCCTTTTTTTCTGTTCTTTCAACAGAACCATTAGTAGCTAAAACAAATGTAAAAGCCACACACAGTATTTTCAAAAGCAGACTGTATCTGAGTAGATCCCAGTAGGGCTGTTTCTGTCAGTATCCACACAGTACTTCCTGGACGTGGACCTACTGAGCCATTTCTGATTAGCTGTCTATCTTATTATCATCACTATAATACCCTAAGTTTAATACTGAAATTTCATTGTACATTTCAGCATATTCAGACAAATAACAGGTTGAACTGGTTTCTAAGTACAATAATTCATAAAGAAATCATACTTTATTCTAAAGTAGAGTTTTAGAGAAAGTCAGCTGTAACATTTGTTCATTTTAAGCCTGAGACCAATTCCATCAAACAGTGTGCACATCACTCTCTACCACAGAGCTTGGACAATACTCTCAACCCTTCCACCTGTGTCAGCAGAGGGTTTCTGGACATACCTCTCTGGCGATGTTATTCAACGCTTCATCTTCTGCAGAAAATCGGTCTTTCACCGGAGTTCTTTTCCTTCCAGAACCGGGAGTCCCCATCGTGACGTCCACACAACAGTCTTTTAATTGAATAGTGACTTCAACTCCTTTTCAAGTGCTGAAATAAACAGAAACAGAATTAATATAGAAAGTCTCTTGTTAGTGCTCACATACTCATTTTAACAAACAGAAATAACATTTCTCCTAACAAGATGAATCATTGGATATTTTTCTACATTATGACTTTTTTTAATCATTTATACTCATTATTAAACGTCCCACCTCTTTTCATCATGCTAACTCCAGCAACTTGTAAGAATGTGTTATGTCACCTTCAGAACATTGCAATCAGCAGTAAATCCTAACAGTTTAAAATTACTAGAGCTATTTATAAAATCCATTTCCATTCCCGAACGATATCCAAGAAAAGTCATTCAGTCTAAAGCTTTGAGAGAACATGTTCAAGAAGTTTTAATACAGACCCTTAAAATCACGTAGAATTTGCTTCCTATGTAATTTAAGAAATAAAGCCAATTAAATTACTACCACATAACAGGTGAAGGTATATATACTGCAATTAACAGTAACCACCACTGTTCTTTCAACAAATACCTGAGTGTCTAGTATTGTCAGGTACCAGGATACGTGCCAAACAGTAATGAATAAACTCAAGTAGTCCAATGATTATAACTCCATCTACGTGTATGCTATAGGAGCGTGTTCCACCCCAACTGCACATGGTTTGAACCTACCAGCTGCTCCATGAGAAATAGATGGGCAATCTCCTCCCATGCAATTTACTGCCTCTGAAAGTCCACTGGAGTCGGCTCTGAGTTGGTTCCAACTCTATAATGCACAACAACAGCGTGCTGAATATAAAAAGCCTAAGTATTTGATGTACAAACAGGTATGTCTTGGAGAAGCGCAGCCTCACATACTTTGGGCATGTTGCCAGGAGGGGCTACTCCTTGGAGAGAGACATGGGGTTGGGAAGGGTGGAGGGTCAGCGAAGGGGAGGAAGACCCTCAGCCAGGTGGACTGATATGCAACGGGCTCTTGTGTGTCAGGAAGTGTGAGGACGGCGCAGGATGGAACGGGATGAGATCTTTTGGTCATGGGGTCACTATGAGTCATACTCGATGACAGCACCTAACACCAACAACATCTGACACATGCTGAAGGATGACAGCGCTTGAGGACATTATGCTAATCACAAAAGGACAGATATTTATGAACACTGAAGACAAGAAAAGGCAAGTGAATAAACGTTTATTAATGGTTACCAGGGGCAGAAGGGTTGGGGAAAGGCAAGAGGGTCAACAATTAAAGAAACATCTCACTGACTAAGGGTAAAGTTTCACAGTCAATAAATTACATCCTTGTAAAAGGTTGAACTGGCACAGATGATATGCTAGATACAGCTGCAGTGATCTAATAAAGGTGGTGAGGCTACGTGTGAGCCAACACCCCATGAGTGTGTGATTTCTTTATTTGGAAAGTTTAGGGCTGTGGTTTCAAGGGATATTCCATCTAACTGGCCTCTCAGTGTGCTCTCTTACCATTCCTAATTAGATGCACAGTGCCTTGGTCTTAAAAGCTTGACAAGTGACCATTCAAGGAATAAGTGATCTCTTTTCACCTAGAGGCAGGAGCAGGAGGAAGGTATGGAAGGTTCACTAAAGAGGAAGGAACAAATCAGAAAAGGAGGCTGAGGTTCCACAACTCAAAGAATATAATCAATGTCACCAAACTGTCCATGGTGACGGTATCATGGGCTGGGGAGCTGGGACAAATTAGGAACTAAGCCTATAGTAGTTGATGTTTGGTTGTACATATTCTCAACAACAAAATAAATATAATTCATGGGGGCAAAATCACAGCTTATGAGACAGTTCTATGCTATCAGAGTAGGGGACTCTGGGCGCCTCGTGGTAACGAGCTGTGCTTCCATCCGGAAGGCAGGTGGTGCTGCAAGTTCACCAGAGGCTCTGCGGGGAAGGAAGGGCAATCTCCTCTTGTGACATTGACTTGCCTCTGAAGACCCGCTGGACTCCACGGTACTTAACAACAAGGTGCTGGAACGAACTCAGTGGTAACAAGATAAAAGAATAGCTCTCTGTTATGATTACTAATAGAGTTATTAAGTAGATATGTTTTTAGAAAAAGCTATTAAGTCTCATCTCCAGGATTAAGTAGCAAGGAAGATTCAGTCTCAAAGTGAGGAGGAAGTGCATGCCGATTCCGTTTCCTCTTTCCCACACACACCCATGAGCAGTAAAGACCACACAGTTAAATACCCACTGATTTAAGATTTTGTCTCCTAGATTTAACAGAGTGAACCTTAGAGGTTTTATTAAAGAGTGAGTCCTAGATGAATTCTCAAGTAAGTCTGTCTGAAGAAAATAAATCATATTAAAATGATAAACTATTTCCGTGTACTAGAATTTACTTGACTCAAAGTAAAACAATCACACACATCCCTCAAGCCACTCTTCAGAAAAACTCATCCCCAGTGAAAATCCAAGCCACTGCCAACCTGACATCACTTCTGTTCCCACAATGCACGTTTATTATGTCTGTTAATCAGAATGGGAGAGGATGGTGGTTTACTATTCTGTCATAAAAACCATATCTGGACATGATAAGAAAAGGATTCACATAAATGGAAACTAGAAAAAGAATGTGTGTCTGAAAGCAACAGCTGCTAAGCCCCAGCCACAAATACAGTTTCTGAAAAGCAGAGTTACAGGAATGTTCTCAAGTCTCCCATCTTCCTTATCCTCTGCATCATTTTAAAGCTTATTCCTTTACTTGCTAATAATGGTGAATATAAACATTAGCCACCTACTGAGACAAAAACAACACGCAGTACAAAGTTTCTTTTCAGATTGGACTGACAACTAACACATTATAACTACTATTATCCAAACTTTCCCCCTCAGTTTGATTTCCAAATAGACAATGAAGGATGTTTTGCAGCAGGAAGAGACAAAAACACAGGCACATTTGCTAATTCCAGACACCAAAAAGGGGAGTTCTGGTGGCCTAGTGGTAAGAAGCCGCACTGTAATCTCAAAGGCACTCGGTTCAAATTCACCAGCTGCTCTTCTAGAGAAGGCAGCACAACCGTGCCTCTGAAAACCTGCTGGGGGTCAGCTCTGACTCAACAGTGCAAAACAAAAGACACTCAGAAAGGTGTTATGTAGAAAGGTAAATAAATGGGATCTGAGATGTGGCTGGAAATCTATGAAAAGATTAATTAACTGTGGTTTTTCATGGTGGCATGAGCTCAGAAACAGGTTATAAGTTTCGAATGATAGTGAAAGTTGCCTATGTGCCTATGTTCTTCAACCTAATTGCTCATAGTTGCTCAAGTTCAGTGTGATAGTAAAAGTTATCTATGCAAAATCCTTTAACCTAAGTGATTAGTTAGCTGTGAGAACGTTATTCCAGGACCTGACATAAAAACCTGAGACAATCACTTGAAGGCTGCGCCACCAGCAGAGAGACACAAGAACTACTTACTTCAAATTTCAAACGCAGGACACCTGACAGAGATCAGGGCCAGAGACATTAGGGAGCCAACAACCTTCTCAGACCCCTGACGCTTATTTCCCTGACCCTCCCACATGCCCGCCCCTCACCTGCTCCCTCTGACCCCCCCCCCCCAAGGCCTGGCTTGATCCTGAGCTGGCAGAGCGCAGTCGTTAAGGTATCCTTGCCACTTGTTTTCTCTCCCATCATCATTATCTGAATAAAGCACATTTTAAAAAGATTCAATCCCGGGGACATGGGGATTCAATCCAGGGTGAAGTAATGGGAAAAGTTTAATGGTGGCTTGAAAAGACAGAGAGATCAACAGTCATAGAGCAATGGTAATTAATGATATAAAGTATAATGTATATCAATACATAAAACACAAAGCACATTTACAAAACACAATGCATATGAATGATCCCATGAAAGCAAGAAAAAGATTCAATCCTTGTCTCTTCTCAATGGGCTTGTAGTGACAGGCAGTGAAAGTCATCTTTTCCTGGTTACAGTTTGGTTAGTCTTTCTTCCTGGTTCTCTGAGGTTTCAACAATATTGAGAAAAGGAGAACTACTTCTTTTTTTTTTTTTTTCAAGTTTTTTTATGGTGTTTTATTCCCTCTTGATAAAAAAAAATCAGACTTTTGTAATTTGTGTATGCTGATCTTCATCAAAAGGTTCATTCTCTGGATCAGAGTCAGTGGTGTCAGAGTATCTATAATGATCAGGTTCATTGTCACTAACATCTGGAGTTACAGAAGTTGAACTGCTAGCCTCTGGATTTGAAGGCTCCTCTACTGTTTTTGTGAAGTAAAGCTTCACCTTAAAATTTGGAGAAAAGTATCGGTTGGCCTTGTCTTTATTTGCTTTGTCAAGATCATTTTTTGTTAAAGTAAGTACTAGATATTCCTTGTCATTATCTGCACGCTCTATACTGCAAATACTATCAATTTCTTGATCACACAGACTTCCATTTTCTACTTTTTCTGAGGTTTCCTCTGGTCCTGGTATGAAGAATGTATTTACCCAAAAGTGAAACATTTTGTCCTTTTTTAGCATCTTGTTCTGTTTGTGGAAGAACTCTACTTTAATGTCACCACACACAGGTAATGGCTGAGGAAATTCAAAGTACATGAACTTGTCTTCCCGACGTGTGGGTCCTGAAGTGGAGGAATATATCTTCACCTTTAGCTGGCAGACCACGAACTGAGGATTGCAAGTTCCGCCACTGAACATTGGAATAGTTTCAAACATCATCTTGTGAAACAACAGTGCCACTGGTCTATAATCCAGATGATTCTTTAACAGGTAGCTATAATAATACACATAACGCCTCTGACTGGGAATAGTTACTCCCTTTTTATCTCTGGTCCTTTAAAAGCAAAAGTTCAGTTTCTCAAGTACAGATGACCTAGTGGTAAGAAGCTGCGCTGCAATCCCAAAGCCATGTGGCTCCAACCTACCGGCTTTTCCTCAGAGAAGGAGGGGCAATCTCCGCCCGTGCAATTACCTGCCTTTGAAAAGCCACTGGAGGATCAGCTCTGGGGTGGTTCTGACTCAACAGCACACAACAAGGGTCAATGGATAAACTGGCTCCAAGAAGATAACAAGGTGGTGACAACATGCTTCTAATTGAGACACAGTCTCTATAGACAGCCATGGTGAAGAGCACTCTTCAGAATGTGTCGTCTTCTCTCTTTCTCCTCTGCCTATTCTCTTTTCCCTTATTTCCCAGGGAACATTGCCCATCCCTTACACTTGACCTGGGTATACACAGATTTACATAAGAATTACCTGTTCATTTAAGAGCCTCGAAACAAAACCATTTCAACAGGCTTCAGACTCTCCCTGAGAGAAAGAGGACAGCAGCACAGGATCAACAGGAACTGAGAACACTGATGTTTGTCTTCCTCGGATCTACATAGAAAGAGAGGCCCATCGCCATGGAGTGGGCTCTGACTCAGCGAGTGCCCCAGGACAGAGTACAAATGTCCCCGGGAGATGAGAAAGCTAGACTCTTTCCAGGAAGGAGCTCTGGTGGCCTTCTGCTGAGGAGCTGTGAAGGGAAGTGGTTTGAATCCACCAGCTGCTCTGCAGGAGAAAGATGGGCAGTCTCCTTCAAAGTACTTGATAGCCTCTGAGAATCACTGGAGGGTCAGCTCCATGTCGGTTCTGACTGGACAGGAATGAGTTCTGAGATGAGTCTTAAAGGAATAGACCTGCTACATCTTTATCCTGTGAGCAGCTGGAGGAACCTGGACATTCTAGCACTGATCAGCCAGGTCTGTTACCTTTTTCAGCTGCATGTGAAAGAGATCATCCATTACCTTGTTTAAGGAACATGCTAGTGCTTTATGAAATAATTAAATTATTTGTATTTTATAGTGTCCTGTCTTCATACCTTTTCAACCTGTATGCAGAACAGATTATCTGGGAGGCTGGGCTCTATGAGGAGAAGTGTGGGGGTCAAGATTGGTGGAAGATCTATCAACAATCTGCGTTATGCAGATGACACAACCCTGCTTGCTGAAACTGAGGAGGACCTGAAGCGCTCGCTGCAGAGGGTCAAGGACTGCAATATGGACTGAGACTCAATGTCAAGAAGACAAAGATTCTCACCACTGGACCAATTGGCAGCATCAGGATGGATGGTGAAGAGATTGAGATTGTTCACAGCTTTAGTTTGCTTGACTCCACAGTCAACACTCTGGCGCCAGTAGCCAGGAAACTAAAAGACGTATTGCTATGGGGAAGTCTGCTGTTAGGGACCTCTCCAAAGTACTGAAGCACAATGGTGTCTCTCTGGAGAGTAAGGTGCACCTGATACATGCCATGGTCTTTGCTATCACTTGTTATGCATCAGAGAGTTGGACAGTGACTAAGGAGGATAGAAGGAGAATTGATGCCTTTGAGCTGTGGTGCTGGAGAAGAGTATTGAGAGTACCATGGACTGCTAGGAAAACAAACAGATTCATCCTGGAAAGGGTTAAACTGGGCGGTTCCTTGGAGGCAAGGATTCTGAAGCTCCGTCTAACATACGTAGGACATGTTGTAAGGAGGGGACCGGTCCTTGGAGAGGGACATCATGCTTGGTAGGGTGGAGGGACAGCGCGGGAGGGGAAGGCCCTCTGTGAGGTGGATTGATTCAGTGACTGGGGTAATCAGGGTGTGTTGGAGACAGTATGACTGGCACAGGACAAAGCAGAGTTTAGGGCTGTTGTACATAGGGTCGCTATGAGTCGCAAGCAACTCGACAGCACGTAACAACAACAACAACAACAACATAGTTAGGTGTTCTTATCAACATTCAGAAAACTAGTCCCTACAGAATCTATTTGCTAATAACTCTTATATTAAAATACTCTCCACTGGAATTGTGGAAATCATGACAGAAATAAAACTATTAGCATACTTACTGGAAAACTGCTTTTTTTAAAAAAATAATAAAAATAAGAATGAATTCAAAGGCAATATTTAACAGATTATTTTTAGTTCCATGCTTAGGAGGGTAGAAGGACAGTGCTAGAGAGGAAGACCCTCGATGAGATGGATTGATTCAGTGACTGGGGTAATTAATGTGTGAGAGACAATAAGATTGGCATAGGACAGAGTAGTGTTGAGGGCTGTTGTACATAGGGTCGCTATGAGTCACAAGTGACTCAACGGCACATAACAACAACAACGCTAATGTACTTTAGCACAGTTTTATATCAAGTAGGTTTCCTCAAGAACACTGATCCACTTAAAAAGCTATAGCTTTACATCAGTTAAGAAAATAAAATTGCCTACAATTCTGCCATGCAGATAATGTCAAGTTGGTTTTCTTGGGATGATTTTATCTAAGTATTTATCTCCTCAAGGGAAAGAAAGAGTGTCTTTAAGAATGTTATAAATAGAAGCCTTCCAAAATAGAGACATTAATAAGGCTTTCTCATCCTCAACTATTCAAATATATATATAATTTTGCCACTTGAAAAATGGTGTTCTAACACTGACACTGTTCACTTTCTGAGGACAAGCGGTGCCTGTAGCATCCACGTGTCACACTCTAAATATAGCACACCTCTTCCTTTCTGCTTGTCTCGAGCCTGTGGTGCGGCTCTTACAGTTACTATGTCCTGCATCACAGCGAATTCCAGACACTGGCGCTGGTATCTGTGTGCTCGAGCCGTCATTAGACAGAAGGCCGGCCTGCACAAAGCCGTCTACAAGTCAGTGATAAGGCAGCCCCACCATCTGGAATGGCACCAGGACTAGAGACTTCATGTCAATGAAGTTGTCACAGGAAAAACGGAAAAGGATCTGCATTCAAATGAGTCTGGGAATTGTTCTCGCCACTTTCTAAACCACAGTTTCTTCATCTATAGAGCAAACTAGTAACTGTCTCCTCTAATATAGTTTATGTTAGGCTCAAATGAGTTAAGTAGGTATACTTAATAAATTATAAACAACAACAACAAAAACCCCAAAAAACAAACAACTCCTAAACCCATTGCTACCAAGTTGATTCAGACTCGAGTCAATCCACAAGGTTTGCTGGCTCCAACATCCACACACACAGACCTTTCTCTGGCCTGTTAAATGGGATTGAATTTTTGCTAAAGCAAGGAACAACCTGAGAAAAAGAAAAATCCTTTTGACTATAATCATCTTACTGTGTAACACATTTACAAAAGAAAAGACAAATTTTACAATACTTCCTGGTGTTCAAAGTCTACTCTTCATAATCCAAACAAATACTCAAGCTAAAAGTAGGTTCTGGAACATGCCCTTATAGGTACTAGTCTCCCTGACAGACCCAAATGACTTGAGAGGAAGCAAAGAGAAAGATGATTAGTATGCTTGATATCTATGTCAAATTTACCTCAAAAGAAAGAAGACATAACTGATAGAAATCATTCTATGTAACATTTACCTCAAAGACTTGTGAACAAATCACTAACTCTAGTCCATGTTAAAGTGTCCAGTAATACAGAAAATGTACTGATAGCTGCTCCTTACTTGAACTGTATCCAGAGAAGAACGGAGATGACTAGGAGGATACACAGATAATGAGGGATCGTGAAACTGTCTCATGTACTTTGGGCAAGTTATCCAGAAACCAGTCCCTGGAGAAGAACATCACACCTGGAAAAGCTGAGGGTCAGCATAAAAAGAGCAAGACCCTTAATGAGACAGAAGGATTGGGCAAGGATTTTTTCTGTTGTTCACAGAGTCATCGCCAGGCGGTGTCACCTCAATGGCAACTAGCAACAATTAACATGACTGCTGTCAATATGTTGAACATCTGTAAAAAGTTGAATTAGTGAAAGTTGTGTGATAAATATATGTACAACAATTAAAAGGAGCTGGTGAGATGACTTGTGCCTAACCACTTCATGGGATTTGGATTCTTGGTTTGAAGATACAAAGTCATAGCTTCATGAGGCACCCCAGTTGACTGACTTAATAAGCTCAGGGCTCCTGCTGTCTTCCAGGTCATTGCATAGAGCCTGAGGTCTTAAAAACTTTCATGTGGCTATCTAAATAAAAACAACTGGTCTTTATGGATGACACAAGCTTGCTTTCAGAAACGAAAAAGACTTGAAGCGCTTACAGAGGATCTAAGATTACAGCCTTCAACACAGAGTACACCTCCTTAAGAAAACAAAAATCTTCACAACTGGACCAATAGGCAGGATCGCACTAAGCAGGAAAGGACTGAAACTGTCAGTAGTTTCATTTTACTTGGATCCACAATCAACACCCATGGATAGAGCAGTCCAAATACTCCAACAATGTACCGACTGGACAAAGATTCTGCCAAGGACTTCTTTAAAGTGTTAAGGGGCAAAGATGTCAGTTTAAAGGCTAAGGTGCAACTGACCTAAGCCAAGGTATTTTTCAGTTGCTCTGTGTGTTTATGAAAGCTGGATAATGAATAAGGACGATCTTAGAAGAGCTGATGTCTTTGCATTATGGTGATGGCAAAGAGTACTGAATAAACCAGGTTCTGCCGAAAGAATAAATGTATCTGGCTTGCAGTGCAGCTGGTGTCTTGGAGGCAAGAACAGTGAGTCACTACGCTTTGATCAAAGGAGAGGAAGATCTTCAACAAGACGGACTGAGATGGTGACAGCAACAATGGGCTTTTAAGCGCAGCAAAGGATAGTACTGGACTGGAAAGGTTCCAATCTGTTGTTCACAAAGTTGCTATGAGTGTAGATGGCTCAACAGTGCCTGACAACAACAATTTACTTGAGCAACAAAGAACAGAGTCAGGGTAAGGAGGAGGAAATAGACTGTGGTAACAGCTTACATGAACAATTTCCTCCTTTGCTGAGATCAGAAGTGAATGGTATCCTGCTACCAGTGCCACACATTTTTATCAAA